TTGACAAGCAAAACTATCACTTGCCAGCAGGCTCCTGTTATCCGGCAGCCAGATCTGGGGGCATGCACCCCCGGGAGGGCTGTGGGGCTGCGCTGGACTCCTCCCAGGGGTGCAGGCCCCCAATCTGCCTGACAGATGACAGGAGGCAGCTCCTGCCATGTGGGACCGGTGTTGGGCATAGCCCACACCCAGAGTCTGGAAGATTGGTGCTGCCACTGGCCCCAGCCAGCAGGAGCAGCCTCCTGTGATCCGGCAGGCAAATCGGGGACCCGCACCCCTGAGAGGAGTCTGGCAGAGCCCCCACAGCCCTTCCAGAGTTGCAAGTGGGCCCCCGATGTGCTGCTGATGCCTGGGACCAGCACTGGGTGCAGTCTGCACCCAGCACCAGGAAGATTGGTGCTGCCGCTGGCCCGAGGCAGCAGGAGCAGCCTCCTGTCATCCGGCAGACAGATCGGGGGCCCGCCCACACCCCTGGGAGGGCTGTGGGGGTTTGCCGGACTCCTCCCAGGGGTGCGGGTGGAACCCCGATCTGCCTGCCAGATCACAGGAGGCTGCTCCTGTTGCCTGGGACTGGCACTGGGCGCTGCCTGCACCCAGCACCAGGAAGATTGGTGCTGCTGCTGGTCCCAGCCGGCAGCAACAGCATGCTGTCATCCGGCACGCAGATCTGGGGACCCGCACGCCTGGGAGGGCTGGGGGATGTGCCAAAATCCTCTCGGGGGGTGCAGCACCCGGATCTGCGCTGGATGACAAGAGGCTGCTGCTGCCGGCTGAGACCAGTGCTGAAACCAAGTAAGCCCAGCTTCGAAACGTTTCAAGTGACCTTGTTTCGTTTCGAAGCTATTACGAAAGCTTTTGTTTCATTTCAATTTCGCTGTTTCAAGTTCAAAATGCATCAAAACAGCTTCAAAACGAAACACCCGGTGAAATTTTGCACAGCCCTACTGCCAGGTGCAATAATCTGGGAGCTAACTTTGCCTGTGAAGACTAAAGTGAAAAAGGCATTGAGTACTTCGGCCTTTTCTGTATCCTGTCACTAGGTTGCCTCCCCCATTCAGTAAGGGACCCACACTTTCCCTGATCTTCCTTTTCTTCCTTACATACTCGTAGAAACCCTTCTTATTTCCCTTCACGTCCCTTGCTAGCTGCAACTCCAATTGTGATTTGGCCTTCCTGACTACCTCCCTGCATGCCCAAACAATACTCCTATATTCCTCCTTAGTTGTTTGTCCAAGTTTCCACTTCTTATAAGTTTCCTTTTTGTGATTTAGTTTACTGAAGAGTTCCCCGCTAAACCAAGCTAGTCTTCTGTCATGCTTGCTAGTCTTCCTGCTCATCAGGATGGTTTGTTCCTGCACTCTCAGTGAGACTTCTTTAAAGGTACAGCCAGCTCTCCTAGACTCCTCTCCTCCTCAGACTGACTTACCAGGGGATCCTGCCCATGAGTTCCCTGACCAAATCCAAGTCTTCTTTTCTGAAGTCCAGGTTCCTTACTCTGCTGCTCTCCATCCTTCCTTTCCTTAGGATCCTAAACTCAATCATCTTGTGGTCGCTACTGCCCAAGTTGCCATCTACTATTTAATAATACATTCCCCACCAATTCTTCCCTGTTTGTGAGCAGCAGGTCAGGAAGAGCCTGGCCCCTAGTTGGCTACTGTAGAACTTGCACTAGCACTTGCACCACCACTGGTACTCTTCTATATGAGTCAGGGCCCAGGGCAAGCATCCGTGCTGAAGAAGGAAGCTTAAGTATGTGTTTAAGGGCTTATCTTCACCACCTCCGTGCCAAGCCTAGGAATGCCTTAAGAAATAAGCCCTGCCCACTCATTCCTGCTGCCTGCATGCCAAATCCAGGAAGACAAGCATCACAGCTTTTCTATAGTGGCACTGAGTGATAGGCTTTCTTTCCCCAGCATGCTGATTGGTATGTTCTTGGGGCTGCCGCAAAACTGCCACACTGACTAGTCTCCAAGGTTTGGCGCACACAACATGGAAATTAGCAGGCAGGATGTGCTTTGTGGGGTTCCCAGGCTCTGCATGGATGCAGTTAAGATAAGCCATAAGGGTCATATCCTATTACAGTCCAAATGCAATTCAGTTCCACCCTTCCCCTGACCTTGAAAAACTCTACCCATGTAACATGCAGTCATTAGGCCTTAACATCAAGTAACAAAAAGACACTGAGGAGGAGGAGGAGAACCCACCCATCTTTTCCATAAACAGGTTTTCAGGGACTTGTGTAGGGTGAAATAGGATGGCATTTAGGCAACCAGGTCCACTGAGGTGCTTAAGTGGAAAAGAATCTGGCCAAAGCATTTTCCTGAATTGGACCCAAGGAGAATGAGTGAAAATAAATATAGTTAAAACCATACCACAATACCTGAATGGTTAACAGGCCTCAGGGTGGCAGAAACAGACAATGCATTCAGCTTCCACTGAAACCAAACAGCTTGCCATTTGTCAAAAGTCTTTTTTTGGTGGGGAGGTTGTTTTGGTTTGTTATTTTAAAAACATGGGTCACCACCCCCAAATTCCTACCCTGATCCAGGTGACAAAAGTCCAGAAAGTCCAGGGGTCTTGAGAACCTGGGTTTGGTGTTCACATCTCATCAAAATAGATTTTCAGGGAAGGAGCAGCCCAAAAAGCCATGTCCAGAACCAAAAACAAGAAATGCATTTCTCATGGCATTCATTTACTGCACCCCATCCTGAGAGTGGATCTCTCAGTAGCTGCTGGGGGCAGCCCAAACAATTAAACAAATAAAATGAAAATGAAACAACATCCTTACACTATCTACTTAGTAAGTCAGCACAATATTAAAAATCATGGATGTCATCGCAAACCAACAAGCTTATATCTAACTAATGGATCTCTAAAATTGTTTTTATATTAATTCTCTTATTTTCATTTCAGTCTCTTATATTTTAATGTGGACACAATCAAATAAGCATCATGATCCATTGAGCAGTCTAGGAATTAGAACTCTTGGATTTTTTATTCAGTTGTGCACTGACTGAAGTGTGGGAGATATTGAGTAGGTCACTTGATTCCACTATATCTCAATTTCCCCATCTGGGAAAGAGGAATGATGAGGCTTACCTATACTTATAAAGCACTTTGAGATCAATGGATGATGGGTGCTATATACCATAAGGATATTTTCTATCAATCCATCATAATTATTAATAAATTAACTGCTACTCCTTAGGAATATTACAAATATATTTTAAATTAAATATATTTTAATACTTGATGCAGAATGCATTGCAATTGAAAGCTTATCTAACTTTATTTCAACCATCCAGTTGGTCCAATAAAAAGGTATCAGCCTAAAAAAATCATTGCCCCCCCCCTTTAATAAAGGAGGTCAATATTGTCAGTCCCCTTTGCCAAAAGGGAAAAGTGAAGCACAAAGAGGTGATGTGTTTTGTCAAAGATCTACCAATATGGCAGTGAAAACAGATCCCAGGTTTCCTAAGCCCCAGTCCAGTACTGTATCCACTATTCCACACATCACCCCTATAAGCATCAATTCATGATGAATTTATATGAACATACTGCTATTTGAGTTGACCACTGTGTGTGTTATTAATGCACACATATATAACTTTTTCCAGTTTTTAGATGGCACTTTAAAAATGTATTTGACATCACTGTTAAACTTCTTGTGTTCTGGTGAAATATATACTTTTACATACCCCAATAATGTGGTTTCAATTGGAAAGGCAGTCATTTCTTGGATTCTAAGTGCTTGAGTTTTGTAGGCCATGTGACAGATAAATAGTCAGTCATCATTTTGCAACCTTAACTCTTTTTTACATGAAGGGGTTTGGTTTCTTCTTAAGTATACACCTGGGTAGGGAGGTGGGGGGCTTTTTATGCAAGTAAATGAAGGCAGAATTTAAAATATTTTAAATAAATAGAATGAACAAGTTTGCTATTAAGACCTTGATGTGGGAAAGCACATAAACACACATTTAACTTTTAAATGCACATATTTTGGTTTTGCAACACAAAAGAGAATGTTTTACCATAGGTGGTGGAAGGGGTGTGTGCTAACTGGGCTCAGCCCCCACAAAGGCAGGGTAGCAGGTAGGGCTGTAGGGCAGCCCAGCCACAGGCTACTGCAGCAGGGTGGGGAGGGATGGGCACACTGAGATACCCTATGCACTTGCAGCCAGGATCGCAGCTGGCCCAGCTGCAGGCAGGTAAGTTTTTTTCAATCTTTGTGACTGCCTGGGCTTGGGGCGGAGGGGGGCAGATTGAGACCCCCACAGTGCAGGAGAGAGTGGGGTAGGGATAGGACAAATTATTTGCCCCTGCCCCACTCCCTCTTGCACTGTGGAGATTGTCCCATGATCCAGCCTGGCTGGGGCCCCATTCATGGTGAACAGGGCCCTGGTTGAGCTGGGTCATGGGACAATTGGAGCCCAGTGACTCATCCAAAGCCAGCGTGGTGCTGTAGAGCCAAAGGGGAGGGGGCACATGGCCCCCCCAATCTTGGCATGGGGCAAGGGCGGCTCACAGCTGCAAGGTGGGCTCAGCCTCTGCTCCCTGCCTGTGCATCTCTCTGCCACCGCTGCTTTGAAAACGGCACGGCGTGGCACCACGCCATGTCCCTCACAGCCCGGCCCAGCATGACTTTCCCTCACCCTCCCCCCCCCCCCCCCCCCAATTTTTTTTCTCCCTCTGCCTATGCATTTCACCCTAACTATACTTTTCTGTGAAAGGCCCTTTTTCATCAAAAAATAATAGTGAGACAAAATATCAACCAGCTCCACTTAATTCCAAACATGTATGAACAGAGAAAGAAGCACTTTCCTTCCCTCTTGAGCTACAAACAAGATCAAAATAAGAGAAAAATGCTGAAAACAAAATGTAACATGAGTCCCCAACAAAACTTTCAAAGAAACAGAGTAGAATAAAAGCAGACGGGCTTATGTGGGAAAGAGAAACATAAGGAGGAAATGCCAAAAAAAAATGGATAATGAGTTACCTACCGGTGATTGTGTCGGTGATAGTTGTATTCTTCCCCCATCCTACAGCCAATCACCAGAATTGTCTCTTCCTGCCAGGAAGCAAGGAGGCAAAAAAGGCTGTCATTTAATGAAAATATAGTATCCAGCCATTTACTTTACCTGCCTCTTCCATGAGAACTACCCAAAAATTCAGGGAAGAAACTTGTTCTCCACAGTCCACACTACTCAGGTGGGCTAAGTGGTGGAAGATCTTGCACTTTCCCTAAAGATTCAAATACTGATCATTGCCAAAGGCAGAGTTTGGTCAGCTCAAATGCAGCAAATGTTATGATCCTAGGCTCCAGAGATACAACGGAAGGTTAAATTGGAAAAGGGGGAAGAGGATGTCTACGACAAGCCCAATGCACAGTAAATTATTCTTTCTTTGTCATACATCTTTACACTTCCCCTTCCTCCCCATCCTACAACCAAGCAGCACTGAGAGCAGCATTGGCCAGTGGGACAGGAACCAGATAAGGTCTGCTTTCAGTGCCAGCCTGAAGAACTCTGCATTATCTATATGCAGCTAAAGATAGTGGCAGCCAGCAGACACTGTGACACGAGGGTGAGACATTATGCAATTGGCTTTAGTTAGGATTATTTTGCCAATGTAAAGGCCTCTAGCAGAATGCTCCTTTACATGAACTTGAAGGCTGACTTCAGGCTCTTTCCTATCCAAATATGATGGTGTGTCTACCAGACAGAATAATCTTTGTGCCACATTAGGTCCCTGAATGCAAACAAGCAAAGCCATCTAGCCTACTAGACCTTTCCATACCAACCTCAGTGCAACATCTATGCTCTGTGGATATCCAAGGTATCCAAGATATCCAAGGCCTTTTCCTCAAAAATAACTTAGAGTCAAGATAAAACTCATGGGACAGACTCTTTCCACATAAAACTGATCTGGTATTTTGAAGAGAGAGGTCATGAAAACTCCTGTAAGACACTCAGAGAAAATGCTTTTAGTCTTCTGTGTTTGTCGCTCCCTACCCACCCTCTCACTACCACTTGCAGAGGCAATGGCAACTGAAAAGACCATCAAGTCAGAAATGAGTGGTAAATAAAAATCTCCTAATGGTTCCATCAACAATAGAATAACCAAGTATAGGTTTCACTGAAGGCTCAGATCCTTTTATGCTGTCCCCATCATCTGAGCATTGCTGTGTGCTCCAAAACACCCATTGCTCTGCACTGTTGCTGGCTGAGAATGCCAAAACTTGAACTTTACAGTTTTAATTCAGAATCCTTTCTGAACCAAAGTCAAGTGGTGGAGACATCTAGCTTAGATCTCATCTCTGTCTCAAGAAGTTTGACAGGACATTTAGACTTAAAAAAAAATCCTCAAGGGCTCTCTTCTTAGTACCAGTCACAGAATACTTCTTGCTTCTAGACACTTCTTGCAACATACTATTCCCGTGGGAAATCCTGCCTTAAACTGACTTTCTGCTACAGAATAAGAGATTTAGCCTTCTTGATTTAGCATGCGCAGCCTGACTTCCCAGGCCCAAAACTGAGCAAGCATGAAACAGAACAGATAAAAATTTGTTCCGCATATCTGAAGAATCAAATGTTCTAGCATTCTGTTTAATGGAGTACTATTCCCATTCTCTTACAAGAGGGTCAAAGAGCTGCTGCTAAACTGTCCAACTCAGGACAAAGAGGCACTCAGCATAGGCTGTCATCTCTAATGATGCTAGTTCCTAGTGTTCAGAACCCAGAGTTGGAAATCTTTCCCCAAAGGAAAATGCACAGGAACTAATGTCAAGTCCTTATGACAAAGGAGGCAATAATGAAAGAGGTCTCTAGCATCTCCAGCCTGGAGAGGGTTGCTTTGTTCATCTGCAGATCTCAATGCATTTTGTGAAGGAGGCAGCCATCATTATCCCTTTTTATTACCACAGACAGTCACTGAGACCCACATAAGTGAAGTGACTTACTCTAAGGTACACAGGGAGCATCTACATGAGACAACACAAGAGCAGTAGACTAATTCTAGTGGGCAAAACCTGTGATTAATGTGCAGGAGAATTAGTCTACTGTACAGCAGTATCATCTAAGACGCGTGTGCTGGCGTTACTGTGTAGTAGTGCTGGTTACTGTGCATTTAGTTAGTACCTCTTAGTACAGGTACTAAACTAAATGCATAGTAACCACTGCACCTTAATGCATGTGTAGACATGTCCACAGAAGACTAAAAGTGCCCTCCCCCTCTGCTTTTACATAAGAGACAAGAATGACATTTTTAATTGGAACCTGCATCTTCTACTCCTGCCTCCTCCGTGAGATTCTTGGCCGCTTCCAGGAACAGGGGGTTGACTCAGTGACCCCTCTTTGGATCTGTACCAGAGTAGATAGAGCACCAAAGAAAGGAGGTTGGAGGAAAGCTGTCATGTCCCTAAAGGAAACTTCTGTACGCATCACATTCCTTAGGTTGTGGTAGATAAGACTCTTCTAAATTTCTTCCATCATTACTATTCATCTTCCCTCTTCTTTCCTTTTCTATTCTCAAGAATGAGCCACAGAAGGGAGTGTTGTCTTTGGCCTAGTTCCTGAAGCTCAAGAAAGCAAACAAGGCTGTTGGAAAGGAGGAAGTGCTTGGTTGTGCCTACATACCTTGGGTGGGAATGAGTTTGCCTCCTTACATCCTTCAGGTGGACACATACAGCTCTCAGTGCTGACTACTTGTAAGATGGGGAGCCCAAGACATATGACAAAGAGATACAGAAACAAAAAGAATGGAAACCCCAATGCACAAAAGGCAGGAGGTGGACATAGATACAGGAAAGAAACAAAAGAAGCTAGGGAGACAGATGTACCCCTGGCAATGGCAGGATAGTGATGACAGACACAGGTGAAAAAAAGTAGCGATACAGAGAAATAAACAAGGAAGAAACCCTGTCAGTAACCCTCAGAAGGCCTCAGCTGATCAGTGGTAAGACATGAATCACTCTCAAAAGCAGTCGTTTTGGCTGACGACTCAGGGCTGACTGCCTTCCATCAAGGAGGTCTTGCTTTAAGCAAGGGGTTGGACTAGATGACCTCCTGAGGTCCCTTCAAACCCTAATTTTCTATGATTCTAAGGAGGTGATTTAGAACAAGCCGTCTTGCTTCCTCACTCACTGGAGGACCCCGCTAGCTCTGTGGTACGTGCCCAGTTCACTGCCAGCCCTGCCATATCCCTCCTCTCATCCTTCATGTCTTCCACTGTTCTAACGTTACTCTGAAAAATACTTTAGCAATATGTGCTGTGGCATTTCACACCCCAGAGGACCAAAGCTTTGCCCCATGTTATCAAAGCATGTAGACTCTTTTCCCAATATAGAAAAAGGTGGTTGTGGTCCACCTGCTAGCATGGGTTTACCCCAAACCTGAGCAGTTCATTACCCCACAGGCCAGTAACTGGAATCATCCTCTCTCCATTTCAACAATATTTGTAGGGAATCATTTCCACTAACACAGTTTTCCCCATTGTCCTTAACCTTATAGAGCTGCACAAGCTTTGGCAGCGAGTGTGTGAGCTCTCAGGAAGGACTGGGTGAACAAGTCTGGTAGCAGTAGGGTGACAAAGTGGACATGGAATAGACCAATAGACCATTATCACCATCGGGAACCTGCTTCCCTTAAAACTCAGTAGCACAGCTCCCTTTGGGCTTTTGTGTCAG